TTCACTTAAGAGGTTTACCCTGAGCCAGATTACATATATAGGCCCAGAGAAATGTAGATGTTGGAACTTTTCAACATAGCACTGGCTAGCTATAGGTCTGTCTGCATGAGTTAGGGAGTATGGTTCATTCCTAAAGAAGGATGTAGGAATTGGAATAAATAGTGCCATTAAAGTAGAATAGAGGTATAAGGAAATAAATGGAAGAAAACCATGTCTATGAAAATGAAGTCTTCCTCTGCTTTACTTATTTCACTTAGCACAATCCTCTCCAGTTAGGAATAGCGTGGAGGACCATAGGGGATGGGAAGGAAAACTGAATGGAAAGAAATCAGAAAAGGAGACAAACTATGAGACTCTGGACTCTGGGAAACAAAGTGAGGATTGCAGAAGGGGTGGGTGGGTGGATGACTATTAAGGAGGGCATGTGTTGTGATGATCACTGGGTATTATATGCAACTAATGAACTTCTGAACACCACATCAAAAACTAATGATGTTGTTATATGTGGGCTAGCTGGACATAACAATAAGACAAAAAAAACGTGAAGTTTTTTAAGCTGGGAGAGTGATGGAGTTCCTGTAACACCTCCATGGAGATAAGTGTGCATTTGTGGGATAATGCCCAGTCTCTGGGAAGAAGGCATGCAGATATTGGTGACTGGGTGAATTACAATGTGGAGGAATTAAAACATGATTGAAGGATGACAGCCTGTTCATGTGAAAGCAAGAAAGGCTGACATGTATATATGATTTTGAATGATAATGGAATGATATACTTAAAAATTTTTTTATTTTGGAAAATCTTAAATATTACCGAAGAGCAGAAGGAATAGTATAATGAACACTCATATACCTACCACTCAACTTCGATAATGAATTCATGGTCAATCTTATTTCATCTTTATTTCCCCTCTCCCCAATAATGTTGTACTAGACATCTTTGCACCCATAACTCCCTCTGTACGAATCTATAAAAGATAAGAAATTAAAAAAAATCACAATGGTAACATTATCACACCTATAAAAATAGTAATTCCCTCTATCATCAAATATTTAATCAGGATTCCAATCTCTCTGATTGTCTCATATTTTTTTATAGTTGGTTTGTTCAAACCAGAATGTCAACAAGGTCTGCATGTTACCAAATGATTGCTGTATCTCTTAAGAACCTTTTAATCTATAAGTTATATCTCTATATTCCTTGCAGTTTATTTATAAAAATTGGGTCATTTTCTCTGTAGAGCTTCCCACACTTTGGATTTTGTTGATTGCATCTCTCTTTTATTTCCTATGGAATAGTAGTTAGACTAAGAGGCTTGATCTGATTCAGGTTTGATTATGTGACAAGAATACTTCATGGGTGGTATGGTACACTTCCATCAAGAGGCACATAATATGTGAGTTTTATTTTTTGGGATGTAAGCAGCCACTCATGTTTATTGCCCAGATCTATTATTGCACTAAGTATTTGCAACAAGGAGTTTTCTTCATTTCTTTGCTAGGAAATGTAGTACAGTGAGAAACTTTTCCTTAACAACTATTAACAACTTAACAACTCCCTAAAGCAGAGTTCATACAAAAAAGGCAAATTAAATATTTGTTTCTATTTAGGTGGTCTTCTAATACTCTCTATGATCAATGAAGTTTATTTACTCTAGTACCACTATGAAAGCATCGTATTTAACATATTTGATCGGTTTGATCCATAGTAATTATTATTATTACTATTATTATTATTATTATTAGATGCTCAAGCTGTCCTACTTTTAGCTGGTAGGAGTCGTTTCAAATTGCTTTTGTTCTTTAGCATAATCGCTTCTGAGAACTATCTTGCCTTTTGACATAACTAGATGTCCCTGTCTCAACTTGTACATTTCCTACACAAGACCTGGAAAATCAACCATTTCTTTAGGAAGCTTTGGTTCCTTTTATTGGGAAATGGAAATTAGGAGTGTTCATCACTTTTGGTTTGTAGTTTGTTTGTGGAATGGTTTGCATTAGGGCTTGCCAATATTTCTGAAGTACATGGTGCTTGTTCAGCTCACATCTGTTCAATGGCATTATTTACAATTGAATCAGGACGCTTTGTGTTGTAAGAAACAGAAAATCTGACCCAAGCTAACATGAAAAATAAAGGAATTTTATTTTCTTTGTTTCTTTTTTTGTAGCTGAAAAGTCCAGAGATAAGATTAGGTTCGAATGAGGCTTCCAGTTTCTTTCTGTTTCTGCTATATACCTTTCTTAACGTTGGTTCTATTCTAAGACTTGCTTTCCTCATGGTCCTGAGTGGCTGTCATCTACTCTAGGACTGCATGCTTCCACATTTACACCCAGCAAAAAGCATCTTTGTTTCTTCCTTCCCAGAAATAATTCTGAGATTCACTCTGAATGAAAATTTTTAGTTAGGTCATGTGCTCAAGGCAGAGCCAAAAACTTGTTAGATAGATGGAATGTGCTAATTGGTTTAACCTAGATTACATATTCCACTCCTGGAGTTGGAGATAATAAGAGCTTCTCTGAAACCACTTGAATCTTCAAACAGAAATTGGGACTGTTGGAAAGGAAGGGAGGGAGTAGATACTGGAGAGGGTCCAACAAATATCCATTATTGCAATATAGTATTTTTTTCTTTTTTCTATTCATCTATCATTTCAGCTATTCAGGCTACCCTAGGTCCTATTGTAAGCATTCAGGAGACAAAGAGGAGTAAATTATAATTCTTGGTTTTAAGGAATTTGTAGACCAATATAAGTAGGCATCTTATCCTTCCAATAACCATGAGAGAAAGATACAGAGGGTACATTAGGGTCCAAGGAATGAAGTATCATTTCTGTTTGGTCGAGGTCTTTCCAGTGCAAAGATTTCAAGATTCTGTGGTTATTTTATGATAGATTTGTTATTGTCCACGGAGCCTACACTGGAAGACTCAAACACTGAAACATCATAAAAATGCCATTTCTTCTCAATGGTGGATTCATCCAAAAACTCACATCTCTAGCACAAAGGTATCAGGCTTATATTAACTAATCTCTGGAATTCTTTTCCCATGTGGCCAGAAGGGATAGGATATTAGTGCTCATTTATCGATGAAAGCAACTTGTGCTGTTAGTGAAAATTTGTCTGATCTTTCTAAGCTGTTTCAGATATCATCAGAACATTATATATTTGTAAGTTAAAAGAAAACAAGAAGCCAAATCCAGGTTTTTACTTTGGACTGACCATGTGTTCAGGTGTAGAGTTTGGATTATAATATAAAACTTCTCTACCGCATGAATTATAACAGAGCAGAATTTGATAACCCAATACTCTTAAATCCCTTCTAGGCAAGTTTCATCTTAAAAAACAAAAGGTGTACCTTGTAGAGAAGTCCCACAGCAAAATATCTGGTTATGAAGGTCACAGTCACAGTGATGAGATCATCAGTTGAAAAATAAATTAAAAATAGCTTGATCCAACTTAGTATAGAAGGTACAGCGAGGAAACGATTAATTTAAAGCCAAACCCATCTTTAATTTCTTTAATATGATTATGAGGCTATAATGATGGTTACCTTTTCTATTTTGTCAGCTGGTGTGAGGTCCAGTAACAAATTACAATAATAACTTACTCTATAAAATAGCAACTTAATCTTTTAAATCCATGAAGTGTCACCTAATTATTTTTTTAATCATTAAAGTGACCCATGCATTCCTTTCTCAACCTACTTTTCTTCATTAAAATGGTTGGCACTTGTTAATTGGCCATACCTTGCCTTAGCCTCCCATTCCCACTCACTTTTATTAACAATATCTTGGAGACCTATCATACTGTACTGCAGAAAACTTACTGTGGTCAAGTTTGCCCTTGGAAAAGTGTTGGGGGAAAAAATCAAACAAAGTCAACAATCTTCAACCCAAACCCACCCGTCTGTGCTATTTAATGGGGCGTTCCTGATGTGAGCATCAGTTCTGGCTGAGAGTTACCACAGAATACAATTGTTTATGCTGTGCCACAGTGTGGAGCAGACAATACCACACAATCAAATCCTTCACACTCAAACAGACATCACACTCTGTAATTATATTTGTCTGACAGATTATTATAATTGTACATGGCAGGTAGTGTAAAGCAGCTCCTTTTTACAGCTTAAATAATGTGGCATATTCTGCGTACTCTAAATCAACCTTGCAGAAGGTAAATTATGAAAGCTAAATGCATGTTGAGTGTTTTTATTTACTCTTTTAGTTAGCATCTTGTGTGGTGCTAGACAGCAAAAGAGAATTGCCTTATTTTGTCTGGTAGTATTTCATTTAACATTTTGTTGTGCAAAGTTCCTTTCTGGATGGCAACTTCTTTTATTTTGCCATACTCAGGACAAACTCCGACAATGATTAATTATAATGTTTTGCCCCACACTCAAATCAACCAAATATGCCAAATCACCATGAAGATAAAATTCATTTCTTAAAAAAAAAAAACCCACCTTATTAAAAACTCAGTTATATGGTTCCTTTCTGAAAGCCTTTTGAGCTAAGGACAAGGCTTTTGGTAAGGGCTTCTAATGTTCACTGTATCTGATTCTCCTTTCCTTCCAAGTATATGAGAGGGTTACATTTCTCTACCATTGTGCAATTAGATGGGGCCATGTTGACTAGCTTTTGCAATTGGCTGTGGGTGGAAGTGATACATGTCATTTCTAATATTGATACATGCTTAGCAATGTGAGACCCTCCAGTGCCCTTTTATGGTGCTGGTGACTGAAGAGTCTATCTATATGTTCCAGAAGAAGCAGCTGTTAGAAGGTAGTGTCTTTGTCAGCCTTACTCCCTGAGTAACTGAAGCTGAACCTCTGCTAAATTAATTAGTTGATTTAGCCTACCCTGACTGATACACGATTCTTCAATATTTGATTTGTCTATGTTGGCCACATTTTACATTAGATATATTATATCCATCTGTCATAGTTTTTATACTATGATTCTACTGTTCCAAAAATATATATGATAAAGTAATAAAAGTTACCTTATCCTGAGGACTTGACAAATTCTGACATGGCATGTTCTTTACATACTCTTATGTAATCCTCATAAAAATTTACAAAATGAGACCAGTCAGGTTAAAGCAGATAATTGATTTCCCATGTCCTCACAGAAGCACTGTTCAATCTGTCCTCTCTAGCTTCAAAATCTATAGCTGTTCCATTTCACTATAGGGTCTCATGTTATTTTTTCCCTGAAATTAGAAAAAAAAAAAAGAAAAATAAAGATATTTATATTTTCCAACATCTTATAGTGTTCTATTTATTTATTGCCTGGATTGATGTATGGGGTTAGGTGCTGCATAAGGCAAATCTTAAATAGCAAAGCATTATCTTCAGAAACTATTATTCTAAAAGGACATGAAACAGATATAAATTCATTCAAATAAAATGCCTGTTGTTGGGGCACTTGGGTGGCTCAGTTGGTTAAGCATCTGACTTGTGATTTCAGCTTAGGTCATAATGTCAGGGTTCTGGCATTGAGCCCTGCATTGGGCTCTGTGCCTAGCATGGAGTCTGCTTGTCTTCCCTCTGCTCATGCTCTCTCTGTCTCTGTCTCTCTCTCTAAAATAAATAAATGGAGTCTAAAAAAACAGTGCCTGATGTTTTAGACACTCAATACAACTGTGAGATTTTATTAGGTATGTCCATGAAGTTCTTGGATGTACTCTTAGGACTGTCAGTTTCATGTGTTTATATCTAGGTATTACAGTACATAGCATGTCACATGTTCTAACCCATTCATGACAGTTGTTGCTACTGAAGCCCTCTTCAACATTTTCCTAAAGACAACATTTTTCTGATATTTTCTAAATTTTCCCATTGTTCCAGTTTTTAGAGTATAACACTCACTGAGGAGTTTTTAAAAACCAATTTGTTTCTTACTAATTCACATAGACTTCCCTATTCCAATTTGTTTCTTAAATACACATCAAAGTATAAAAAAATTTCTTGCCCTGCTTATTTATTTCACTGCTTACTTATTTCCAATCTGTACCATTTTATATGAAGCTTCCCTAAACTGCCAAGATCTCTTCTATGGGTCCCCATCCCTGGCCTCATCTGATTAGATTACTGGAAGATCTTTAATTTAAGGGGAGTTAGTCCATAGGCAGCTAGTCATAGGTGATTTTGCATGCCTAGAAAGATGATCTGGGTCAATCAGATTCATTTCCTAGAACTGAAGATTAGGAAATTAAAAAACTAACCTAGTATCAATGGTAACAAAAGTGGCAGTATTTTTCTGACTCCTTGATTTTTTTTTGACAAGCAAGTATTATAAACTTTATCATCTGGGAACTTCCTGCAATGTGAGAATTATCAAAGTAACATAAAATCAGGGTAGGGATGTTCTTATAAAGAGAAGGAAGCTTTAAGGCAGAGCAAAAATACTCCATGGAACATACAGCAACAACTCAATGCTCTGTGAAGTATTAGATCCCTTAGTGAAGATAATCTCTATTGCTCTGAATCATGGAATCCATGAAAATATTACCAGAACCAGAGAAATTACCTAGAAAGTGGGACAGGAAAGGACTTGATCTTAATACTTGGATATACTTTTAGTATATACTTTTAGTAGAAAATTAGCAGCTTGGTAGCATGCAGTTATACTTATAGTTCATAATTTTTTAAATAGTTTGGAAATTTGACCTTTACCCAACTATGAGATTAAATAATTTGGAGAAAAAGAAGTCTAGGATTGTTAGAAATTATAGACTGCTACCTTTTACATGTGCTTGATTCAAACATTTTTATTACCTGCTTTAAAAAAATTGTTCAGTTAGAGAAAAGTCAACAATTGCTTACATTTAATTTGATAAGTCACCAAATAAACTTTGATATTGAAAGGTATGGGGGAATTGTACTAGATTGAGAGCCAGAAATCAGGATTTGGGGCTCAGCTCTGCCTAACTTTCATTGTGGCCTTAATAGTCATTCATTCTTTATTTCATGTATTCATTTAATTATCTATCTGCAACCAGGATGTTTGGATTTGAATACCATCCCTGTCACTTACTAACTGTGGGATCTCAGGCATATTATTATTTAATCTCCATTTCCTTATTTGTAAATGAGGATAACACTACCTACCTCATAGGTTTGTTGTATTAACTACATAATATACTTACAGCAGTACCTGACATACAATAAGGTCTAGTAAGGACTGAGACTAGGGTGAGGCAAGAGAGGCACCTAAAGGGCAAAATTTAAGGAAGTGCTTGAACAACCCTGAAAGAGCAAGCCTCCTCAAATTTTGCCCTGCACCCCTCCATCTTATTCTAGTCCTGATCCTAGGTTAAGCTATTATTGTTCATTCATTTGTGTATATTTTATCATGGAAAGGTATAAGGAGAGTTTTGGTAGGCACACAAAAATGGGGATATTTAGAATTCCTACTCCATCAAATTTTTGTGAGGACTACATGAGATAATTCACATAAAGAGCTTAGCATAGCATCTGGCATGTAATAAATACTAAATAAATGTGAGCTTTAAAAAGAGAAAGGTGATGGACTTGGTAACCGCTAACATTGCCTTCTACCTCTAAAAATCTGTATTCTAAGACCTAGCTAGTTAAAATGTTGTAATTATTGATAGCTGCTTTGAAGAAAGGTGGCACCAACATTTAGCAGTGTAACTCTGTGGGGGTGGGATCATTACAGAATAAAGAGAAAACATGTTCTTAGTCTTTAGGGGCTCACAATCAGGCTGAAAAAAGGCAGGTGAGTAAGTAAAACATATTCTCATACATATGTAACAACACTATCTATATCCAAATACACATTCTATGGGGAATGGCATGCTGTTGAGATGGAACTCTTTGGAAAGCTGCTTTATCTTCCAATCAGTCAGGAAAGATTTTGAGAAAGAGGCCAGCTTTGAGTGTTCTTTGATGTGTTCACTAGAAGAGTGTCATTGTTTAGCCTGATGGAAGTTTGGGAGGGTGTTAGAAGGATGGCAGATAGAATGGGTGAATTTTTAGGTTATAGCCGATTCACTGAAAAAATGAGAAGGTAAAGGTAGACATATTAAAAAGCGAAATGATGGGATAAAGGAACATAGTTTAGCCTGAGGATATGCAAGAGAGATATTGGATGATCTTGATGGGCAGGCCCTAAAACTTACTGTGGAGGTGATGGGGACCTTTAAAGTTTGTTAATATAACTAACTGCTCATTTGCCTATCTCACCTATCAAGATGAGCCTCTTACATAATTGATTATCTATTGGCTGTTATCTAAGGGCCACAGAAAGTACAGAACTGCTGAAAATCCCTGTTAATTTGGCCCAAATTGGTATAGATTATATTTCTGTCAAGAGAGATTTGTTACAGGAGGCCTGGAGGGGTCTCCCTTGGTTAAGCATCTGCCTTCAGCTCAGATCATGATTCCAGGGTCCTAAGATTGAGTCCCACTTGAGTCCCTGCTCAGCAGGATGCCTGCTTCTCCCCTCTGCCTATCACTCTCCCTGGTTGTGCTCACTCTCTCTGACAAATAAATAAAATCTTAAAAAAAAAAAAAAAAGACAGAGAGAGAGATTTGTTAGATTTTCTTGTTATTAGTTAATTGGTCAACAAGTGATAAAGGTCCACATGCCACTCAAAAGTAGAACATCTTTATATAACATAAATTAAGTATTGCCTCTGATATTTGTGGAAAATATAGGAAAAACATAAACATTTCCTAGTGGCTTTGACTTTGAAGTAAAGACATACCCAATGTAGATGCTTAAATATTTCTCCAGTGGCATGTAGCATAGTACATGTTATACAGTAGGTGCCTAATAAGTACTTGTTGAATGAATCAGTAAATAAAAGAGAATTGTCTTTGGATTAGGTGGAAGTAATTGTGCAATGCTTCTTAAGTGTGTATATTATTTCATATATTTATTCTAAGGATGATGTTGCAGAAGCAAATATATATGAAGTACACATTATGGAATTATAGAAGTAAAATGTTAATTGATGCAGATGTAATTATTTTTGACAAGTTTTCAGATAAAAGGGGTGTTTTGTGTAATATATCCTTAAAATTAAATGGAAGTCAATAGAAAAGTCTAAGTAACTAAATTCACAAGAGTTAAAGGCTTTTAGAGCTGTAAAATGTCTTATGAGGAGTGCAGACGGAGGCTTTGATATTAAAAAAGAACTTGCTATAAGTTCATTACCATCTTAACTGGGTTGTGAAGGCAACCCAGATATCCCACCATAGGCAACACAGTATTCCTTAATGGAATACTACACAGCTATTAATGTGTTATTGAAGTTGGAGAGTATTTAATCACATGGAGAGATATTAACATTAAGTGGAAAGAAAAACACCAACTTAAAAATCAGTTTGTGTCAGATGAACCTATTCAAACATGCACAGAAGAAGCCTGGAATAATAAGATCTAAAATCAACAAGGATCATTTCTGAGAGAGAGAATCACTGATTTCTTTCTTCCATGCTTATGTGTTTTTTTTAATCTAAAGAAAAGGACATGTATTTTAAAAAAGTTATTAAATTATTTCTTCAAATAAAGAAGAGACCAAAATGACCTGCTAAAACTGGGGACACTACTTTTTCTTTGTTTCGATATTGAACTCAATGTCAACATCCAGCTGCCTCTGACCTTGAATTTACTTATGCCAACGAGTCTCCCTTTTGCTTGTTGCATGGATTTAATGTCTCCTATTTTAATACAGCCACATCCTACCAAGTCCTAAATTTTACTTCAAAAAATAATTTATGAACTAGATGACACACTTGCTTTTTGGTACCTGAGCTTACTTCTGGTTACCATGAATATTCAGGAGTATAGAGCATAGTGGCTCCACTCTGCCCCATAAACTTCAATAAAGTAAAGGCAGTTTCTGGAGTGATAAGGGCATATGGTCTGTGAGGACAAGTATGTTTGCTGATGAATGGAATAAAGACAGAGAGTCAGAGAAGACTATTATCTGGGACCATTTCCGAACTGACCAGGGCTTGTAGAAAGGTCAAATTAGGCTGCTTAGCATTTTAAAGAAAATGATTTGATTTGTTTGCTTAATACAGTGTAAGTACCTCTGTCAACACATATAGTGTTTTAACATTATGAGCTTATTAAAATAGTAAATCTGTGGAGAACATTCAAATCTTCACACAATTATGCTTGAACCTAATGTACAAGTGAAAATAGGCAATGGTAATAACATCATACAACACTGGAGACAATTTCTCAGCCTGCAGGTACAAAAAAACGTTACTGATTGCCTGAGCTTTGTGCCAGCTCCTTTTTATCTGTCTGCTTGCTGTTTTTCATTCAAATTATAACACCTTTTCCTACAAGATAAATTAACAGGTTTTTTCCCCCCGAGTTTTAAGTTTAGATCCTTCGAAAAGCTTAACATAAAGTAGAGTCATTAGGCTTGGTAAGAGGCCAAATTTAGGCAAAGCAGATACAAAAATACTTCATGTAAAATAAAAATTCAAATACGGGATGCATGCATGGAGCTGCCTGATTGCTGTATTTATGAGGGCCTGCAGGTTTGTTTTAATTTCTTCCTGCATTCATGAATCCTTGTTTTTATTTTTTTGCTATCCTTTCTCTTACTGTAGGGGGTTTGTATTTGGCTTTCATTTCCCCTTCCTGGTCCTCTTTTAATGAGGAAATTAATTTTTCTTATCATTCATTAGAAGATTTGTTTTGAAAGGTAAAAAGTGTCCTCTATTCTTTAGTAATCATTAAGTTATTAAGGCAGAGTTCCACCTTGACTGTAAAGAGGTATAAGTGAGCATCTTGGTTTGGGCGTATAGAATGGAGAGCGTGAGAGAGGAATGATAATCTGGAGCCCAAAGTTCCTCATTTCAGAGACAGCCATGACTTCTAAATAGGCATTGTCCTTAAAATGTATCCAGGTTGGGGAAAAGTTGTGAGGTAAATGGTATCCCAGGTGGAGGACATTTCAGTATGTTTCCCTGACATCTTAGTTGAATGTGTTATTTTCCTAAGGTTCTGAGACATACATTTGTGAATCAACACCTACTATTAAGTATCTACTAAGTGCAATCACTTAGTTTGTATATATAAAAGCAAGGAGCAAACAGGGTCCAGATTTTAAGATGTTTCTAATCCAGACATGTTAATACCATCCCATTATATAAGACTTTACAGACTTAGTCATTTGACTTTTACATTAATCCTAAAAAGCAGATAAAATGATTTCCAACTTATACATGATAAGAGTGGGTCTCAAAGATGGTAAGGATCACACAACTAATAAGGGGCAGAGCTGGGACCTGATATCAAATCACCTGATTTTTTAAAAAATTCAATTTAATTTTTTTTTTTTTTTTTTTTTTTTTTTTTAGTGTAATCATCTGATTTTCAATCCACCTAGCTTACTGGTTCTCACTGGGGATGGGGTGAGAATTTGAACCACCGAGGGAATATTTAAAAATGCTTATTGCTGGTGCCTTTACATGTTCTGGCATAAACTCTTGGGGTTTAGACAACTACCCTCTCCTCTAGATGGTCTTAGACAACTGAAGAAGGTAAAGTGAGGTGGGTGGAAGGACAACCTCAAAAATATAAATATTTAAATATATATATGCATTTCTTCTCAGATGTTTTTGATATTCCTGCTCTACACAATTGCCCAAACAACAATTGCATGAGAAGAAATAACAATAGAAGCCAGGGTACGGTAGATGCCACTTGGGTAATGACAATAAGAATGTGATTTCAGAGACCAGAAATACCATTTCTAATTCAGGTGGTCAGGGAAGTCTTTTAGAACAAATCAGGCCTTAATGGTGAATAAGAGGGATGTATGACTCAGGGAGTTCCTGAGACTAAATACTGAGAGAAGCTCAACCATATTTTTCTTCTGAGTGCCACCACTTGCTAGCTGTTCAACATTAGTCAAGTTTGACAATCTGAGGTTCATTTTTCTCACCTACAAAATGGGGATAATAACCAACTCACTGGGATGCTGTGGGGAGTAAATGAGAAAACAGATCTTGATGCCTGATATAGTGCCTGCTCAACATTCTGCTCAACAAAGTGGCATTCCTTGCCCTTCTCAAAGTTCTAAACAAAGTTTCTCAAATTTTTGGAAAATTTTATACTTTTTCTCACCTTAGCAGCGATAACCGTGCCTCGTCTGTGGCGTCTGTCTGTCCTAAAAATCCTCTTTTAGAAGTTACATCGTCTAAGAAGTCTCAGGCTTTCTCTCCCTGGCAGGTGATTCCGTCCTTTTTGAATTCTCTTAGAGGACTCCTCACTTCTGCTCTTCCCCTCATTTCACATTGTCTAGTGCTGTCTTATGCCTTATCAGCCTCCTGTTTGAAAACTTGTCTTTATATTGCTGCAATATCTATTATATTAGCTTCTGAACAAATTTGGGCAAACTGGATGCAAAAGCCTTCATGTTCCCTTTGATTCTGGTGTGATAGGCCTGGACCTTAAATTAGTTCCTTGAGCTGGGGACTTGCTTCAATCACTTGGGATTTTTCTCTAATCTGTAACAGTTACACTAATCGGATTTAAAACTGACTGAACACTTTTATTATAGCTTGCCAGAGGTATGCATTAAAATTTAACACTGTTTCCTCTTTGAACAGAAAGAAAGTACTTATGGTGTGATTATATAGGATTAGAATTTTTCATTAAAAAGGGTTTTAAACACTTCGGCAAGTAGAAGGCAGAAACCTATTTAATGAGTTTTTAAAGGTAGTGAAAGTAAGCAAAGTTTAACAGAACCATTTTTCCTCCCCTCACATAAAGCTTCTCTTTCACCTCAATGTATCAGGCCATGCACAAATCATGGCCTGATGACTTGTAAAGGACTGCCATTTGCACACAGCAACAGAAGACTAAGCCTGTTATAAAACGAAGGAGAGATTATAGAGAAATCTAAGAGCAGATCAGAATGCTTCACAGCCTCAAGTTTGGAGAATTATCTGAATTATAACTAAGGTGATACTATAGACTCCACGCTCAACTGAGGAATTATGTTATGGTTTGTGATATCCTAAAAAACTTACAGCCTAGATTCCTGAAGAAAGCCAAAAAGAATCTGAGACTTTGAAGGTGGTAATTGAGATGTGGCGTTGTCTTGTCTGTGTGGCTCACAGTGGCGATGGGTGCATGGGGCTTATCCTGTGTGACTTGGTATTTATGGAGGTTGGCAGATGTGGTGCCATTTAATACTACCCCCAACACCACATGCAAATGCAGAAGCCACAGAATACAAAGCCCAGGCCTCTGGAAACAGGAAATCTAGCCAAAATATTTAACCAAGTAATTTTATCACTGCCTTTGAAATGGCTATGGTATGCATTTTAGTTGGGTTCAGGAGCACACATATCTCAAATAAAGGACTTGGGTTGAAATAAATCTACCTCAGATCTGTTTACCCAGCAAGATCTGAAGATTCAATTTTCTAAGCATTTCTGAAATAAGAGTTGCTGGAATTAGAGCAAGGCAGCTCAGTGGCAACAGTTTAAGTTTTCTCTGATGTGAACTCTGATAGGAACAGAGTAGCTATTGGAAATGTTGTGTGTACATTCTCATTTACAGCTAATTAGAAGTATTTTTGTGACTGAAGAAGGGGAAATGTGTCATGGGTGTCAGCACATTGTGCTGCACAGTTAATAAGAATTGGCACTAAAGCCACATGTATCATACTTGGAAGCAAACTTTGATGAAGACACAGTTTTAGAATTATCGTGTATACATTCTCATTTATAACTGATTAAAAGTATTTTTTAATCTGATATCTAGGATAGTGACATGAATGTCAGCAAAATGTATATACTAACAGTTATATATCTCAATTAAGAAGAAATAGACCACCAACATGGACTTGTACACTTCTTGAAGAACTGAGATTACCAGGAAACATGAAAGAGAATCCTTCAGGTCAGACCAGACACTTGGGAGGAGGGGGGTTTGCCCTGTCGCATCAGTATCCAAGTGGAACCTTTGGGGTTGTTTCCTTCCTTTTCTTTCTTTCCTTGTCATCCTCCTCCTTTTCCCTTCCTTCTTCTTTTTGCTCCTCCCTTCCTCTCTCTAACTCCTTTCTTTCTTTCCTCTCTTCTTTCTTTCTTTCTTTCTTTCTTTCTTTCTTTCTTTCTTTCTTTCTTTCTTTCTTTCTTTCTTTCTTTCTTTCTTCTTTTTTCTTTCTTCCAGGAAGTAGAGGCTGCTTACTTACAGGAGCAGAGTGGCTGCATGTGAGTGGTTACCCAGGCCAGAATAACAGTGAGGCATATCTTTTCTCCCTGCCTAACTAATGGTGTATTTGAGCCCTCCAGCTATTTGCCTTCTCAGTCAACTATAAAGAAATAATAATAGCTAGTCTTTATGTATCATTTACTATGTGCCAGGTACCATTCTGAAAGCTTTACCTGTATTTCCTATTTAATTTTCTTAACAGCCCAATGAAGTAGGTAATATATTATATCCATTTTACAGAGGGGGAAACTGAAGCCCAAAGAAATGAAATAACCCGTCCAAGGTCACACAACCATAAGTGACAGAGACAAGATTTGAATATAGTTGTCAGGTCCCAGAGTTTGTACTCTTCACCACTATGCCAAACTGCCTCTCCATATTTTGTTTTTAATCTACAACTACTGAAAAACTTAAAACAGGAAAAGTGTGAGGTAGAAAGTAAAAGCCTACCTGAAATCCCATGTTTCAGAGATGATTATTGTTAGTATATTGGTGACTATCTCTCTTTCATCTGTCGTAAGCACGTACTCATATTTGTATGGTTTTACCTGAATGGAATAATACGTCACAGACGTGGTTTTTAAATAAAGACCTCTTTTTGTTTCACTAACCTCCCCCTCTTCTATTCCCATATACCCAAACACATTTAAAAAGCTAGCATGTATCCTTTTTAAAGTATATATACATATATAATTTAAAAATAAATGCTTACATATACATTTGCAAATAAGGATGTTTATGTACAGATATGTAGCTTTCTGAGGGGCTATTTTTGTTTTGTATTACAAAATGACATCCTATCGTAACACTACTCTGCATCTTCCCTATCTTATGCAACAGTATGTCTTAGAAGTTTCTGATTAAGGGGCGCTGGGGTGGCTCAGTCAGTAAGTCCACTGTTGAGTTTTGGCTCAGGTCATGATCTCAGGGTCCTGAGACAGAGCTCTGTGGAGTCCACTTGAGATTCTCTCTCTCCTTCTGCCCTCCTCCCACTTGCTCTCTCTCTTTCTCAGGGGAAAAAAAAAAAGCCTTCTGATGTCAACTTGATTAGTTTACCTCACCTTTTTGGGGGAGTGGGGAGAAGGCAAGGGACGGAGAATCTTAATCAGCCTTCACACCCAGGGTGCATCTCAGGACTCTGAGATCATGACCAGGGCCGAAATTAAGAGTGGGAGGCTTAAGCGACTGAGTCACCCAGGCACCCCAAATCTCACTCTTTTTAATGGCTGCATATTATTTCATTGCATGGCCATTTTTATATATTCCTCCAACAACAAAATTCTGCTGTTAATATTTTCCTTCCATAGATAGAATTTTGGCTGTTTTCTCTCCAACGCAAAGCCGGAGACAAGGACTTGCATGCCTATTATTCATTAGGGAAGCGATCCAGGCCGGAGTCAGGAGTGCGACCGGGGACAGTGAAACAGAGAAGGTACGACACCGTGGTTTGTGCCCACGATGGGCCAGTGGATTCTTCCTGTCTGAGTGGTCTTACCAACAGAGCCTTTAAAACATGGTGTTTGATGCTTCGGCCCACATTCCCCACAACCAGGAATCGTTTCTCCGGGGCTAACAGCTCGGCATTTGCAGGCTGCCTGGGCAGGTGTAGAGCCCCGGGGGCAGATGGGAAACGCGTGTGGGCCGCATGCGTGGTTCTGCTCCTCCTGTTCCGCTGGTTGCCGCTTCGGTGTCTGGAATGGAAAGGTGGTTTCAGAGGAGCTGAGGCTTCTGGGACAGAAAGCCATTCCTGCTTTCCTCTGTATTTTCCCATCCTGGAGATCAATGGTTTTTATGCAGGGGACGAACTTTTTCCCTTTGCCCTGGCAATCACAATGATGGTAATATAGCTTGTCTTCTGGCCCAACTTTGTATCGAATGCCCTACACAGTACATCTGCGTCTTTACAACAGCCATTTATCAGGTAGGTGTTTTGTGTAGGGGAGACCCAAAGAGATTATGAGGGAGGAGCATTTGTACCCTGTTATCTTTGTATTCTCAGTGGCTAGTATATGTCTGTTGCTTAAAGAACATTCAGTCTGCACTTTTAAGGGAATGCCGCTGAAGTAACTTGTGCTCAGTTACACACCCACTATGTGGCAAATCTGGCCTTTAAACCCAGGACTTTTTGCGTCCAAAACCTGTATGTCTTTTATTAAACCCCTGAAGCCTAAAGAATTTTGTGAAACTTCTTGCAAATTTTAAGGCAGAATATGTAAAATTGTTCATCCTAAATTTTTTGAAAGCTTATTTTTTAATGGGAAGGGGAAAATACAAGACATTTTATAAAATAAAATAAGATGAATCTGATACATTTAGGCTATGTTTGTGTCATGATAAAATGAGTTTTAACTACTTATTGAATAGCATTTACAGACTATGAAAAACATTACATGAAGTTTTTATTTTTAGATTGTATCCACACTATCTTGAAAATCTTGAAAACTTTATAGTTGTATAAAAAGGAAATAGCATTACTATTCTAAACTACTCCAGTTGTTTTGAATCTGGAATATTACAATGGCCAAGCTTCTTCCAAACAGAGATTTGTTTAAAATGGAAAAAATTGGGGAGCCTCATGAGTATAAGGTACAGCAACTAATCATTAAAGGGGGACTCCTAGAAACCGGTATTTCCAGTCATTCTTTGGTTTGGCTCCTGATAGGGTTCTCCTGCATCTAGCAATGCACCATAAAAAGGTTTAGGATGAATGAGGCGTATTTGTCATTTGAGAAGTCATTGTCTTAGATTTCTGGCCCTCTTTAATAAATCCTCTTGACCAAACTTTCTTGAAACATTTTCTTTTCCTGACTTTCTAGTTTGTTTTTATTTTTTTAAATATAAGACACATGTTAATGACAAAAAAGCCATACAAAATACAAAGAATACAAAAAGCACCCTAAATCCAACCACCCAGATAAAACATTGTTATCCTCCTCCCTAACTTCGATGTGACATTGACTTTTGGTGATTCATCCCTTCCTTTCTTTGTGTTTTGGCTAACTCCTCTTCTTCCTTCAAAAATATAATTTAATTCCTAAAACAAAACCTATGGGTTGGATATAATCAATCTCATTTTACAGATGCAGAAACTGATCTCTCCATGCCAGTGAAGATCTCTGAATTCTGTGATCTGTGATTGTCAGGGTAAGTCTGAGATAAAAGTTTCATAAATGTCTCTATTTTAAACTTCTAGAGATGCTAACCTGCATTTAGAAGGTCAAGGGTTGGCACATCTGTCTCTAGAATCCTAGGATGGGATTCTCTTGAAGAAAGTTTTCTCTTACGCTTTTGTGTTTCTGTCTGTTGGACAGTAAACCAAACAAGCCAACAACAAAAACTTTAGTGCAGAAAATAAGCACATCGGTAGTAAATTGTTTCACTTCAAAAAAGACTTTGGGCCATTGTAGTTTGAGGATAAAACCAAGCTTCTTCTCTCTCTTGGGTTGTTTCTTATTTATTTCATCTCCATGAAAGTATGTTATGGTTTGACAAATAAACTGTGGATACTCAAAAAAGTGCATTATGTTTCCAAAATACACTGTCTTCTCACAGTCGTTTAGAATATGCATTGAAATACATATAATTAAATAGAAGAATGAAATTATATTTGGAAGCCATTAACTAAAAGTGCCTACCTTTATGTCTTTCACCATAATTCTTAGGCCTTACAACAAAGAACGTGTTTCTTTATCTACCTAGGAGCAGGGCTTTCTATGTACTTCTTCTGACGTGAAAAGATTTACCTTCTGGCTGTTGAAAATAATGTGCTAACTGAGGAAATTAAAAGGAAAAACAAAGCGTAGGCTCAGTGTGATTTACTTATGCCTGGGTTCCAAGTGGCCTGTGAATTATGAGGTGCAAATTACTAAAAGATTAATACTTTATTAATATTGTGTAATCAGTTGGGAAGACTTTCCCCAGAGGACAGCACACCAGTGTTTGTCTTCCAGAAATGGTATCAAGTCACAGATCAAGAGTTATCTGGGGAAAGCAGTGTGTTCTTCCCTATGCTTGAATGCATTGAGTTGGGCTAGATAGAGCAGCCTTCCATCTGTGAGTACATACCAAAAGTCTGGGAGCCTTAAAAGTTGAAGTGATCCATGTCAGGCACCTATGTATCTATACCTGTTCTCTTTTGCTATGTAACCCACAACTGTAAAACAGCTAGCATTTTATTATATTTCACAATTTCATGGGTCAGGAATTCAAGCACTTCTATTGCATGTGCTTTGATTGGCATCACTTGGTGACATTCGGCTGATATGTGGGCTGATCTGGAGAGTTCAAGACAGATTTATTAACATATCTGGTCTCTTGGATGACTCAGCTGGACCCCTCTTCCTGTTGTCTCAGGGCCTCGCTGCACGGTCTCTCCATCAGAGTAGTTGGACTTCTTTTTTTTTTTTTTAAGATTTTACTTATTTGACAGAGAGGGATCACAAGTAGGCAGAGAGACAAGCAGAGAGAGAGAGAGGAGGAAGAAGGCTCCCTGACGAGCAGAGAGCCCAATGTGGGACTCGATCCCAGAACCCTGAGATCATGACCCGAGCTGAAGGCAGAGGCTTAACCCACTAAGCCACCCAGGCGCCCCAGTAGTTGGACTTCTTTTACAGGTTGGATGCTGGAGTCTATTAAGGACTGGCCCAGAAATGGGCTTGGTATTATCTTCACTGTATTCTATTGGTCAGAGTAGTCACAGAGCCCACCCAGAATTAAGGGGATGGTAGAGAGATCTCCTCTCTTGATGGAAGGCATTCAAAGAATTTGGCACTATCTTTAATTTGCCTTGATTTATCTTTTCCCCCATTGTCAATATCTAGGAAGAGAGAAGAAGGAAAGTATCAGGAAAAGCAGTTCTAGATAGATTCCTCATCTGGTCTGTTTCAGCCTGGAAGGAGGAATGGAGGACTTCAGCACACAGGTAAGCTCAAGATGTATGTTTAATTTGGGAGCTACAGTGCCTAAGTATCCTCTGTCAGCCTCCTGGTGAATTAGCCCTGGCAATGTTAAAATACAGTAAGTTGAGATTCCCCAAGGTAAGAAGGCTGTGATCCATTGCCTTAACTTGGAAGGCCATGTGGCCCCTTTGTAGCACCTGGTGAGTGGGAACACGGACACATGGCTTCAGGAAGAAGTTCCCACCACAAAGCAGTGAGCATCCTGAGCTTCATCTCCCAAAGAGGAATTGTTCCAAGGTGTGAGGGAGAGAGGGTCAACACAGCAGGATAAACACACTAATTGCCTACCTCTTTTTAAGAAAGAAAATGGAATTTGATGATGAATTCTATTATTTTGCTTCAAGATCAGTTTGTATCAAAATGTAAGAACAAAAAATGTTAAGCCAAAGGTGTTAGCACAATTGGTACAAACATGTCACTTCCCTGTTTCCTTATAAAACACACCTTATAGTGTTGGGGATGAGAATGTGGACTCTGGTGGCTCAGACTGCTTGGGGTTGAATTCCAGCCTCAAGAGTTGTAGTAGTGTGTGATT